GGACAGCACATTCTAAACTAAAATGTTCAATCAATAAAGTACCATCTTATCTTATCTTAATAATATCTTCATATTAATAATAATAATAAATCATACAGTATGTGTCCGAAAGGGAGCAGGAGGAAGCAAACACAAAAATATACAAAAAATATACTGCATATTAAAGCAAACGATTGTAAAGGTAAAAGTATGAGCATAACAAATGAAGAAGTGTAATGTAAACATTTACATTATAATTATGATTATTTAATATATAAAGACTATATATTATTGAATTACAAGATTAGATATACTTTAGTTGATCTAAAATATTGATGTGTTCAAATGCTCTTCAAAACACAACTGAAAGTCCATGAAACTTGTCTTTCTGTATGAATGAAGCGCCATCTCCTGGTTAAAACCTGAAATTGAAAATCTGGCAACGCCCTCTTGGAAAATAGTGGGAGGGCTTAACATTCCTCTATACTGGTCTTTGGCTGGTGGTAGGCAGGAAGCTGTAAGCTGGAGTCCGAAATTCAGTGCTCCATCTGTACGCCATTAAATAAGGCTGTTGATACAGCCATGGCTCGTGTAGAGTGTGCACGGACTCCCGTGGGGAAGGTCTTCCCCGCCTTTCCGTAGGCATGTGAAATGCATTCACAAAGCCAGCCTGCCAGGCGTTTCTTGGACAAAGCTTTTCCAGTTACCCCACCGCCGAAACACACAAACAGCTGTTCTGTTTGTCTAAGGGCAGCCGTGCGCTCTACATAACATGCCAGCGCACGCACCGGGCAGAGGAGGTGCAATTCAGCCTCCCTCGCCCCACCATGGGGTGGAGATTAAAAACCCCCAACTGAATAGCCCTCGACCTGAACGCACTCCTTAGGCTCTTGGGCACAGAGGGGGGTTCGGTCTGAGTGTCGCACCGCTTTGGTCACCCCGGATGTTTAAACAACTCGGGTGCCCTGATAAAGCGGTTAACTCGGACACTCTTTTGGCCGACGTTAAGGCAAGTAGCAATGCTGTCTTCCACGACAGTGCTTTCAAGGAGGAGAGCTCCAGAGGCTCAAATGGCTCTGTGACCAGAGCCTCGAGCACCAGCGGCACGTCCCAATGCGGGGCGGAGGCGCGCACCACTGGGCGCAGCCTGCTGACCCCTCGCAAAAACCGCGTCATCAGCGGTTGACCTGTCGCCAAATCGACGAGATAGCTTCTGCATACACTTTCACTGTGGAATGAGCAAAGCCCTATGTCCACCAATCACTGTAAGTACGACAAAACAGATCCCAATTTTACAAGATAGGGGCTCTATTATCCGCTCCTCACACCATCGCTGGAATCCCAGCCACTTCAGCCTGTAACAGGCTTTGGTGGATCCTGCTCTAGCTGCCTGGATAGACTGAATAACGCTGTCAGACAATCCACCCTGTCTCAGCCTGTCCCTCTCAGGAGCCAAGCCTGGAAAGGTTGGTCCAGAGTGGGTAACGCCCCAATTGCACCTGCATCTTGAGAGATCGCCTCCCAACTTGGGGGAGCGCCCAGGGCTGGCTCACCTTCATCTGTGTCATCTCTGAGTACCACGGCGCCCCCACGCGATCCGGTGCTACTAGGATGACTGACAGACGTTCCCGCCTCACTCTCCCCAGGAGAGGGAGAATGAGACGCAACGGTGGAAAGGCGTAGAGCAGCTTCTCTGGCCACGGCTTGTGCGCAATGCGTCGACCTCCAAAGGCGATTGATTATGGTGGATGAAGGAACCATGAGTTCAAAAATCTTACATGTGTTTAGTTGAAGTCTCATGACTGTGAAGGTCACAGCATATGAAAAACATAATTGTCATTCCTTGTAGCATTCAGCGGGCCCTCGCCTGTCTGGCTGCATGTTTCTAACTCATTTATTTACATGTCACCTTTAATAGACCAAGTGGGCAACTGTGTATTCATTCTGCCACATATATTTGCTCTTGTTAAGATATAATGCAAACGGAAACCCAATTTAACATTATTATCAAAGAGAATAATATAAAAACAAAACCAGCTTAAATAGGAAAGGTCATGTATAAATGACAGTGCAGTGTATGATATGAATAGTTATTTGATTTAATCAAAAGCAGGGACAAAAACTATAAAACAAAAAGTATCCCGACACTGGACAAACTGAGGTGTGTTTTTGCTTGATAAATTAATTCAGAAGTAATCGATTATAAATATTTCTGTTGATTGGTAAATCAATCAAACACATTTTTGTTTCTGCGCTATACAGTTCATATCTAAAAAGGAATAAATGAGGAGTAACGTTTTTCTTTAGGGGGAGATCAGACTCGACTTCTTCTCAGTAAACCTCAGGGCGACAACACCTGTTATAATTATTTGAGGCTCCTCTACAGAAATGGGATTCCAAATGATCTTCTCCACTTGAAAGGCATGTTTCCATTTGCTTTAAATGAAAAAGGAGGATTCCTGGAGAAAATGGGCGGGTGGGGAGCTGCAGGCAGTACTCAGTCCTGCTACTGCCTCTTTGTGTGTGTGTGTGTTTGTGTGTGTGTGTGTGTGTGTGTGTGTGCGTGTGTGCGTGCGTGCGTGCGTGCGTGCGGATAATATCATGTGAATTGTAAAACGATGTAAATGATAAAACTGAGGTGACCTGTGTGTTCTGTCAGAGTGTGTGTGAGGAGGAGACATTTCTGTGAGTGTGTTGACTGTGTGGCGACAGGCTGAAACCTGCCCTGAGCTTTGACTTTTTGTTGGCTTTAATTAAGAAATTGGAAATTAGTGCCCTGCGAAATTGAAAACGCTTTAGCTTTTGGCAATACACACTGCTTTGTGATTTCACAATCTTCCTGATGTGGTTCCTTCAACTGCTGCCCGGCTTTGAGTTTGTATCACGTCAGTGGTTTGCTTTTTCGCTTGAAGACTCTGTGCATTTGAGTTGAATGTTTTCACACTTATTCCGTCAGTAAACAGACTCCTCCATTACTCCACTGCAGCATCAGTACTAAAACCACCAGACTCAGGGACAGTTTCATTCCACAGGCCATAAAACTGCTAAACACCTGAACTAAGAACATCCATAACATTCATCTGTTTGTAACTTACAAATTATGTATCACTTGTAGACTCTTATGGCACTACTTATATTCTATTCTATTTGATTGTATTTACTTGCACTATTTTATCTATGTTATTGTGTTGCACTGTTGGAGGAGCCTGGGACCTAAGATTTTCATCGACATAACTACGATACTGTAGCAATGTACGAATGACAATAACAGCATTGAACCTTGAATTGAATTATGCTTCATGTTTGCCAACAAAGAAACTATTTAAATTAGGTATATTTTTTCAGTTCAAACTATGTCATACATAAATAATAATAAATTGTCCCTGCCTGAATGTCACTCACACTTCCACATTCACCACATCACCCACTAACTCCCTACAATAAGCAAACACGAATCTCAGCATTTACCTTGAAGGCTGGTCTAGAATATCAAGTGACATGATTGGAATTCTTACTTTGCCTTCAACAGCTCAACATCATGAAACCTGTTATGATTTATTGTGTGCTTTTGTCAAATTAAATCTGGTAGATGGAATTAAACTTGATTTAAACTCCAAACAGCAACACGTGATTATGTAAGGAAGTGATTATTTTTCAAAATTCCTTATTTGAGCTCTTCTGGGGTATTCAATCTGAAAATACTTAATCTAATTTAAATGTAGTTGCATCAGGTTGTTCAGGAAGTCAACATTTCTTATACACAAAACAAATATGTTCCAGTAGCCTTTTCCACTGTGATAATTAACATAGCATGTGACAAAACATAAGCTAAGTTTCTTCTTAATGTATTAATATCAAACATCTCTGAGAAATGTCATGAATTATTAAACTTTATTTCCTGTTCTGATTTTCCCACAGGTTTGGTTCAGCAATCGAAGGGCCAGGTGGCGAAAACAAGCAGGAGCCAATCAGCTAGCAGCTTTCAACCACCTGTTGCCGGGTGGATTTCCTCCCACAGGGATGCCAACACTTCCAACGTACCAGCTGCCAGAGTCCAGCTATCCAACCAACACTCTGTCCCAAGGTAGAGGATCTCACAGTGCATGTAGATGATACACGATAGAAGAATCTAGCAGGCACTGTGACGTGTTGCTCCACCAGTGCCTGCACAACAGCTTTCCCACTGTTTAGCATAAATATATATATTATATCAAAACCTCCAAATCAGGTGCGTTTGGTGTTGTGATGACACACATTTGGCTCCACAACCTGACAGAGGTGTTTTCTTATTCTTAATTTTTGAAACGTGGGTCCACTTGTGATTGTACAAAGTGTAACCGAGAGGAGCTTCTCTCACACAATTGAACTAACATGATCCATTAGTGACAGCTGATGGGACCTGACACCAGAGGCATTTTTCATCTGGAAAAATCAGCTGCTAGCTGAATATTTCATACACTGCTGGCGTACGTTAATGAATGAGAGATATGGAGTTATCAAAACCAGGTATTCTAGTTTTTTGGATATCAGAGTCACTTAAAGCAAAAGGCCCACATTTGTTTTTAATAAATAAAAAATGTATATTCTCTGTTCTCTGTAGTTGAAAAAAAAACCTATGTCAAGTACACAGTCATGCTTGTATAATTGAACAACAGTAACAAAACCTTTTCTACCGGCGATGTTCATTTATATTTTTTTATTCAGACGTTAATGGTACAGTCCACCGCCCACAGCCGTTGCCTCCATCCACCATGCACCAGGGCGGTCTGGCCAGCCCTGACAGCGGCTCGGTCTACGGCCTGGCCTCCAACCGCCACGGCTTCTCCACCTACTCTGACTCCTTCATGAGCTCTGCTCCCAGCAACCACGTCAACCCTGGCAGCAACGGACTCTCACCACAGGTAAGACCTGCTGCACCGCATGTGAATACGTAACATTTACCTGGTGGATCAGGTCAATTGCATAAAGAACTAAACAGTGACCGTGACCAGTGTGGATTTGTACACACGTCCTATTGTAAAGCGTCTTTGAAAGGCGCTATAAAAATCCAAGTTATTATTATTATTATTTGTATCACATTACTGTATTGGAAGTATTGTGTCGTTACGCAGACAGTTTGGTGGGTCGGCCTGTTTGATGTCTTGCTGCAAATCATATTAATGTTTGTAGTGTAGAGACTGCTGTTGGATGACTTGGAGAGGAAGTCATTTTGATGTTGCATCTGGTACCTCCCAGAGCCTTAATTTTTTGTTTAGGCCACAGTTTGAACTGCATGATTCCCATACAGATGGTAGTTTCTGGAACTTTTATAAAGTTTGCTATCCCTCAGTTATCAGTAGTTAATGATGACATATCAAAAAATCAGCAAAAACCCACATTTTCAATCATGGAATGGCACTGAGTACATGTACTCAAGTAAAGTATTACAGATTAAGCTTCTCCACTTTTTGAAGTCTTAGATACCATTAGAACTGTTGGTAATCAATGCCCAAGGCTGATCCTCACGAAGACCTGGGCTAATCATTAAGTTTTAAAGGCATCTTCAAAACCTGTCAACTAATTACAGTGCAAGGCATGATGTCACTCTACTCATTAAAGAAGAGACCGATACTCTATGCGCCTTTGTTTCCCGAAATCTCTACAGGAGTTGCTGAGTTTACAGCAGCACAGCACATGCTTAATCTGTGATGCTGTCCTCCTGCTCCACCCCCACATTAAAAGCACCTGCCTCATTGGTCCTCTTGTCAGTTGATTTACTCTCTCTGTTTGTCTGAGTATGTATGTATGACTAGAATAAGAGTATTTAAATGCTATAAGTTGATTTAGTTGTAGAGAAAAGATCAGATTTCATTGTTTTTAAATTAAAAAGATCGAACTGACTTGAAGTCAGTAAGTGCTGAATGAACTGCACCCCCCATGCTAATGGAGGAATTAGCACAATAGAATTTAACTAATCATTGTATTCCCCATTCTGTGGCTCAGTCTTTGCAATTAACTACATCGTTCATCTCCATGGCCCCTCATGGACTCTGGGTTGAACTCCCATCACAAAGATGTTCATTTGGAGAGAAAATCCTTTGAAACCTTCAGGGGGAAAATAGAAAATAAATAATCTAATTGACTGAGATCATTAATTGAATACAGCGACTGTCTTTCTGTATAATTAACAGATGTTGCTGTTAATGCGGACTGCTCTAATGAATTGTGGCTGATATTCAAATACAATATCTCGTTGTTCTTCTGTTTGTGTGTGACCTTTGGTCGGGTGATAATGAGTTTTGTGAGACACGTGGTGAACCGGATCGCTTCACTCAAATTAGTTTGAGTTTCACTAGACCAAATATACTGGGTGGCAAAGAGTTATTTGAACAACACGATTGCAACTGACTTTCCGTTAATCATGGTTGTTTCATTTTCATTGGTATTCACTGGAACAGTTTAGTGTTTCGATAGTGTAAAGTTGTAAACCCTTGCTGTGGTGTCTTCCAGAGGATGGGGAGATGTTCTGGTCGGGCCATTACCACTTTGGGAAGATGACTGTTGTTAATACATTTTTTTGTATTGTTTGTTGAAGGGAGAGGAAGTACCATTGCAGGCATAAAAGAAACATAAGCACCATTTCCCTTCAACTAACACACCTCTCCACACACACACTCTAAACCCTGACATAATGAGCGAAGGCAGTGTGTATGGAAAAAAAGGAAATGCAATGTATAGTAAAAGAAGACAGAACAAAATATGTTTTGGATGAATACTCTCACACACACACACACACACACACACACACACACACACACACACACACACACACACACACACACACACACACACACACACACACACACACACACACACACACACACACACACACACACACACACACACACACACACACACACACACACACACAACCTAGTCATTGAGCGCAATGCAGGGCTTTACAGGATCATTTGAAATGTTCTCTTGTCTTCAATAGAGTTGTTCTCCTGCACTGATGATGTCTGACTGCCATGAGTCTTCACTTGAAATCATCATTGCTGGATGCTAACACAGCCTGACTCATTCACAAAGAGTTGGCAGCAGTAAATCTGTAACACTGTGTTTGTGTGTCCAAACTCAAATGAAGGAGGGAAAGATTCCTGTGTTATCCCATCTTGGTCTCTGGAACAATAACCATTCCAAATGAGACTTTTTATGCAGCAGCAGCAGGGATTGTTCTCCCTGGCAGAAAAAGACCAGTGATTCATACCCATACCCATCTCTGACTGTCACACATGCTGCAGCGCAGAGCACCCTGAGCAACAACATCCTCAGGAAGGAGATAAGATGTGAGCAATCTAATACACCATATTCTTCTGAAGTACAACAAATACATTCCATGGAACATGCAATGCAATGTAAATGGAAATGATGGATTCCTACATAAAATACAAAATATTGCATAACTGACCTCAAACAATAACAAAATATGTTCATGCAGCAAACTCATGCAGTCAATCATTTTGATTGGCCAGAGCCACAAGCACATTGTTGGCATTAAAATGACCGTCAAAGCGTGGATATTCTCGATGCAACTGGACAGGTGTTTGTACGTGGATTTACTGTTGGTTGGAGAAAAGACCTCCCCCCAAACTAAATATATGCAATACGCTATGATGTCAGGTAAATGATGCGAGATGAAATGGTTCCGTCATAAAGTAAATGTTCAAATATTTCAGTGCATGCTTTATATATACTAACTAACATGATATATGATGTATATGAGGAGGTATATCCTCAAATAGTGTGGAACTATGCTGTTTATAACATTAAAGCTCTTAAAAGGGTTCATTTAAAGGAAACATCTGATTTGAAGAAATTGAAATAAAGCTATATGCAACACCTAAATGAACAGACAACTCCTCACAATATGTTACTATACATTATATGTATAACGGAATTTGCAGTTTCTAATTTTCTATTATTTGTATAAAAGAAAACACATAATTTTAGCAAAGCGGGGAATCAAAGGATTAAACCATTTATTATTATCCTTCATATTAAATTCTTATCTGTTCGTGTCATGGTGGTTACGTTTCTAAATCAAGAGTAAACACACCTAAAGCGATGCAGGGTTGTTATTTGACAACCTGGCTGCACACACACATACTGCCATGTGGGAAACAGAGGCTTTTTGTGGGCGCCCTTTAAAGTCAGAAAATACAGTCAGAGGGCTGCAGGGGCCACACACCTCTAGTGGGTCATGCATGATGAATATTTTTGGATCACTCATTCATCGTTTCTTTGGAAAATGTTGCATGTTATAGCTTTAAAGCAAGACTGACTACCATCCACAGAGTACCAACATATGAGTTGGCTGTAGAGAGAATGAAGTGAAGCTGGTGCTGCGTGTGTTTACGGTGCTCTCAGTCTATACTCAATGGCTCTGAGTCTCAGCTGAAGCATTTCCATTCTGCCATTGACCCTTTCTTCACGCTCCCAGGCATTTACATGAGATAACAACGGAGGCTGCGTTCCTAAGATACATCAAAATTACAGATAGACCGTATGCTGTACGTCTGACAGGCAATAATTCAATTTGAAACAGCTATATTGCATTTGGAATGTAATTCACACACGCCATTTCTGTGCCTCCTCCTGTCACATTCAAGGCGACAGAATTAGAGGCTGACTTTCATGTGGAGATGGAGTGTGCAGCCAATTCCACGTCTTATTGATTGAAAGACAAAAAGACAGTATAGAATTCCATCCCTCTGGTTGCACTGCATGTGTAAATAGAAACCATTTCACAGCTTCACTATCAGAGCTGAACAAACCCCCTCCCCCTAAGAAAGCCTGCAAAAATAAACCACACTTTTTGACAGATTCCCATAAATGTAGCCTGAGAGCCCTCTAAGTGGTTAGGAGTTTTATTTCTTCAGTCAGACAGTCAGTAATGCTGGCCCACTAATCCGTTTTTGTCAGGTCAGACAACTTAGTGACTTGCCACTGAAGATGAAACTATTACTTCCCCCAGTGACCCCAACAGATCAACACATCACACGAGTGAAGAAGAACACATTCTCCTCTCGCATTCTCATTTCCTCCCCGGTTTGTTGTGAGAGGAAGATTTAGCTGCTTTGGAATGGTGGCTGGTGCAGCGCTCTGGATGCTATTTGATGTTGGGGTGAGAGAGACAGAGAGGGGAGAGTGGGTGAGTGGGTTTCAGTGTGGGGGGATCAGAGCTGCTTTGGTTCTCCAGCTCTGTCTCTTTGATCCATATCCCCAGGCCTGCCGCGCTGCCGCGCTAACTCAGGCCTCTGCCCGTGAATCCTGACAACTGTCGGCCTAAGATAAGGAGGTGGGTTGGGGGGATGTGGGGGGCCTCTTCTACCAGCTCCCCCCCCTCCTGCCCACTCTCCTTACACTGCATCGCTATCACATATACTGCCATTTAAATTCACAACAAGGAATCGTGTTGAATTATATTCAAGAGGCTGAGCAGAGAGGCCCCTCCCTTAAATAAGATACAAATAGTAGCCCCCGCATTCTGGTGCCCGCCCTCCTGCAGCCCCCCAGTTCTTAGTGTGTTGCCACGGCTGTTTGCACCTGAATGTCAATGAGTGTGGTGCCTAATATCAGTCTCAGCTGCTATTAAAATTAGCCGTGCTAAGCCCTTTGACTGGGCACGCTGTCAACTGGCACGCTCTCATGTCAACAAATCAAAAAGGATGAGCACATATATTTACATCATTCCTATAACGAGGGATAGAGTGGGGGCAGGGGGGTAGATGTTAATTAGAAATCGCCTAAAAAACAGATTCAGTTTGGCAAGAAGCAAAGGAAGGAGCTTTTAAGCAAATAAATAAATAAAGACAAGAACTACTCAAGAAAGCTGCCAGAAAGATGAGGAATTTAAATCATACCCAGTGATGGAATGTTTGTAGGATATATTTGTACTTATTTATGTATCACTCAGAGTGTTCTCCTCCTCCCACAGTGGGACTGAACAGAGCCCAGGGTGCTGTCTGAGGACTGAGTGGGTAGAGAGAGCTAAGCCCCGCTGCTTCCTGTGCTTGGGAGAGGATGTAGGCGCTGACTGACTGCAGCACTCCACCTGAAACTCATTGCCTGTTTTATTCATGTGATCACTTTTTAACACTTGCACCCTGACCACATGAAGGCCTGAAGGTGACCATTACTTCAGACTCCTTCATATCTCTAGTTTAGTGTGCTGTGTAAACCATTGATGCAGGTGTCATTATACTGGGGACACGTCCCCACCACTTTGCATTAGAATCATTTATTTAAAATGTTCTGAAAATAGCATGCACAAAGAACTGCACACTTTGAGGTTTTTAGCACAATAGAACATGTTCAATCTGGAGGAGTAGTAAAGCTATTAATGCTTCTGTCTTGCAGCAGCAGCATAGCATACTTACTGCTTTAGTTCAAATAAAAAAAGAGACAAAAATCTCCCACACAGAATTATTTTTAATAAAGGTAATGGTTGTTTAGATGTTGCCATTATCAGCCTATAAGAAGCAAGCAATGCACAAGTGGAAATGTGAATCTGTTTATTCGGCCAGAAAAACTGAAGCCTAACCATTATGATTTCTCTTCCACCGCACGTCACTGTCAAGGGGCAAGAGGTCATTCAAACCATCAGGAAACATACTTTGAAGATAAAACAGAAGGGAGAAAAACATATTCAAATCTCTTTTGATGTGCAATAACTGAAACCACAAACCACATACCCCGAACCAAGGGGCAAGGGCCAACAACATTATAATTAATGCCATCTCTGTAAGACTCATGGCCCAGCAAAACAGATACACATGGGCTTCTGCCACCTGAGCATTTCACCTAATTGGCCATGTGCCAATAAGAGAAAACAAATATTTATATAAATATTGAATAAAGAAAATATTTCTTCTTTATTATACAATGCTACTGCGAGGTAAAGATATTACATCATTAAATATTCCGTACTAAACATCTGTGTGCCTGTCTGATGCATTCAGGCCCCAGCTGTCGGCCCCCCGTCTCCTGCTGGGATCCATCTCTGTTTATTTACATGTCATTATGGGTTGGAGCAGCAGATATTAACCCTGTCAGCAGCACTTTGACCTGACATCCCTCAAAAGGCAAACCTCCCGCTGCGTGAGCTTCATCCTCTGACCCAACCCCAACCTGTTCGCCTCAAATCATTAAAGGTTCATTTGGAATAGCAGTGAAGATGGTGCAGTGGGTGGTGTTGTTAGAGGGGGGTGTTAATAGTCTCAGTGCGGCAGGAATAGGAGCTGCACACTGTTTCGCAGGGGAAAGCTCTTCTGTGGGCACAATGATGCACCCACTGATCAAAAAAGTGTGTATGGGGAGGTACTGAAGCATTTTTCAGCTGTGGTTGGATCTGTAAATGCATTAATATAGAAAAAAACTAAAAGGATAATTATTAAGATATATTAGAGTTATGTTTACCTGAGCAGAGAATAACATATAGAAATACTCTCCACCAGAATCACCAGCTGTCCCAAAGCCATTGTCGACTGTCAAGACAATCTAAGTATGTATATGCACAAAAATGTACATTATTCTGAATGTATCCGGACATTAGGTAAATATAGCGGAAGGGTGGAGTTTGTATTATTAGCAAATCAAACCAAGTATTGGTCAGAAAAGTGGAAAATGTCCACTAACATATGATCCAACATACCTGTATAAAACGCCTTGTCGCCAATATACAGTAAGGCAGCAATGATGAATAAAGATCATTCCTTAAAGTCCCTGGACCTTAAATAAGAATGTAATATGGTCAACTACACCATTTCAATGCCCTTGAATCCTTATCTATTATTTGCAGGAATAATGTTCAAATTAAATGTATTTTATGAACTTTTAGTTCCATGAACAACCCAAGGCTGTACTGGTGCCTACTAGACATTCAAAGACCGAATAAACCGTCCAAACTTCATGGTAGTATTAACGGCTAATGACACCACAGACACACACCAAGGTCCCTGTCATCTGTGTGTTCATTTGATTTCTTCAGGTAGTGTGCATAATATTTGTCTATCAGCTCAAACAGGGTTTGAAGGAACTTATTTATTGTTACATCTCTGTCGGTGTGTATATTTTTGTTCTTTATGACATGGAGTCCTTTTTCCATCACTCATGTGGGAGTTGGATGTTAAGCTGATAGCACATGAACTTCTGATTGCATCAGATAATGTGCATTTCAATCTGACGGGCTCAGTGTGCTGTACTTCTGACTTTAGCTTGCATGGAAGATAGTGATAGTGGGACATTTCAAGCATCTGCCTTTATCCCAGTCGCTGTATCCGCCCAAAACCTAACATCAACCTGCCGCTGTGAGGTCAATCAGAATTAAGCATTTAACTAAATGAGACCTCCTTTCCTCGGAGGCTGTCAATTAAGTATATTACCTGTCCATTGTTTTGTTATATTGCTGTATTCAATGAGAACATCAGGGTTCAGGAGAACTTAGGCCTTTATGTACTTTAAATGTAATTAATAATCTGCTGTGCAAAGTGTGATAGGAATATTGGCATACTTTTTTCAAACAAACACACACACGTACACTCAACGTAAGTAAGTAATATCCAGGTGAAATATCTGTAATGAATGCAGTTAGAACAGCCCCTCGTAAGGTTCCTCACAGAGAGTTTAATCATTGTTTGGCTTTAATGGTGATCTGAGCAGTGTACTGAAGTGTGAGTGTTCTCCTCCTGTGTTTCAGGTGATGAGCATGCTGGGTAACCCCAGTGCTGTTTCCTCTCAGCAACAACACGACTTCTCCATCTCGCCGCTCCACAGTGCCTTGGACTCCTCTCCTTCCAACGCCCTCTCAGCCAGCTGCAGCCAGCGCTCAGCTGAGAGCTCCATGAAGACAGTGGACAGCCTTTCGTCATCCCAGTCCTACTGCCCCCCCACATATAGCACTACCAGCTACATGGACCCCGCTGTGGCTGCTGCCAGCTACCAGTACACACAGTACGGCCAGAGTGAGTTCTGCTAATTCACACTAACAAACAGCAGCAGAGTGGCATGTGTTTTCAACTCTGATAGATATATCATTTAGTAAGAGACCAGTTTGTTCAAGTCTATGTTATGATGAAACAATGCCGAAACACATGGGCCCAGCTTTCAAAACCACTTCTTTGGAGAACACTGGATTAACAGTGTAATAACTCCAAGAGAATCACATGATTCTGCCACTTAGTAGTCTTTCCTCTAAATAATTGTTTTATATTTGATTATAAGTTGTAGTTGCAATCTCATGGACCATAATAAGGTGAAATGCACAGTAGCAGGAGTCACATTATTCAAATGTATTTTTGTTGAGCTTTGGGAACTCCAAGCATCTTATCAGGAAGTAAGAACGAGCTCCACTCAGACACACTCTCCGTCTCACTACATAATGACACATTACCCCTGTGCTTACAGAATATGGACATTACATTAGAATCTTGAGGTAAGGAATAGGAGTCCATTATGAATGTGTACCCTTAAACGCTGCCACTCAGCCTTCTGATCAGTTATGATATCATTGTACCTGCACAATGACTTAGATCTTAATTCAAACCAACAAACACGATCGTTACATTACAGCAGTAGTTATAATCAGGTTAAAATAAAAAACATATTTTTGATGCTGTACATATAACTGATCCTCTCTGATGTGTGTGGTGTGGCCCTCCACCCCGGCCCCTCCCTCCTGCTGACAGATTTAGCCGTCTTCTTCAGACATTTGACTCTTCTCTTGTTCTAGAGCAGGAAGCTCCTGACAGATTAAAGAACATACTGTCAAAGTGTGTGTGTGTGTGTGCGCGTGCATGTGTGTTATCAGATAGGCTCAATCTTGGAGGCAGAGGACTCTCACCGTGACTGCTCAACAGGGATTTAAGGTATAAGGCTGGTTGACAGGAATAACAGCTTCCTTTAGAGGGCCTCGCTAAACCCTTGTGAAACACACACACACACACACACACACACACACACACACACACACACACACACACACACACACACACACACACACACACACACACACACACACACACACACACACACTGCTCCCCCACTAGCTGT